AGATTCTCCTAAAACATTAATCCGATTTTGAATATATACTAGGGCCGTGTAACAACTTTGGTCCCAAATCATATTACGATATTATTTATCTTTCAAAATGTAAGTTAACTGTTAATCAAAATTGCAAATTATTTCTATACTTTTCGCCCCGAACTTTTGTTCAGTTCTGCATCTGTTCGGTTGAAAATTTAAATATCTTGGTAAAAAGATACTCAGAAGACATTTACATTGGAGTTTGGGTAGCTATCACAAGCCCTATTTAATAGTTTATGATGTTTGTGCATAGTATTTTATAAGTCTCTTAACATTGTGCTTTCAACAAGAAGGTTTAAGGTTTGCAGTGGATATTAACAGGTAATGAACAGCGGCCATTGTTCATTAATAAATACTTTATTTTATGTCTACAAAATGCTGGTATGCTGTTTTAGATTCACATTATTGAGACGATATTTTATTTTAAATTATATAATTAAATCAAAGTGTCGATTAACTAATTATACTGTGTTTAATTTAAAAGCAGGGTTAAGTAATCCTCTAACTTGACCAACGAGCTTTTTACCACGATAGCTTACTTAAACCTATAAGGCTGTTCTAAAAGGCCCTTTTTGAATTGCTACAATTTGTTTATAAAAGATTCTTGGTTAGCATTCTTAACATTCATACCTTTATGTATAAATAATATAAAACTTCCATAGTGATTAAACGTCATCAAGGTGTTCTGAATTAAGCATTGTGAGTTTAATTTTGGTGGTGAAGTATTTGTAAAGAAGTAGTTTGAAAATTTGTAATTGAAATCCTCGTAATGACAAAAGAAAATTCTGAATTTTGGTCTAAAATTCGAAAAAAAAACATTAAGTTTCATCAACACTTGAACCAAATTATTACTTACTAAAAATTCCCTAATTATGGTCTCAAATTAATTAAAATCTAAAATAAAATACAGTCACGAAATTACTTTAATGTGTTATTACTTTGCTTAAATATTGCTTAACTTATAAACAATAAAACAAATTGTGAAAACAAATACACTGCTAAAATTATAATAATGGTGCAATTATAAATTATATATCTTCATTGCCGAAAAGATTTTAAAATTAATTCACCTTCCAAACTGTCATGAACGTAATAATAATAATGATGGTAATAATATTTTTGATTCAATCACAACTAAATACATATATTTTTCTTTGTAATTAAAGTTTTATCAGGCATTAGAAAAGTATCGGAGTAGTGTTGCAATAAAACATTAAAGGATATAAGATTGAACGGTCCTTAAATTGTTGTGTTGTCTTGGTTTGAGGTTAGTCATAATTCAATTTTACAGACTAGCTAACTGATAAACCAAATACAACTGATTGAGAAGTGATGGAGGCAATTGAGTGTTTGTTATAAAAGCACAAAATAATACACTAACTGAAATATCAGTAAATTGTATATAATATCATAAATTACGTTTTGCTTTCAAACAATTTGCAAATCGAGGGAACGCAGTGAGTAAAAAAAGAAAGTTGAATGTCATTTTGGGCGTATTGCAAGTCTAAAGTGTTCACAGCTGCTGTTTGCTTAGCTGTTGAACCTTCCTCTTGAAAACTGCAACTTGTTGAGTGTGCAGTGTCCTTCTCTAACAAAAATATCGTTCAAGGGAACTAACTTTGGTACAGTTTTCTCACTCCCTTATCTCTTTTACGAAGTAAAGCTTAAAACACGTAAATTTATAATTTAAACATGAATGAGTATTGAATGTGGATCAAATAGTATTTGTTCCAGGAAATATTTATTGATAGTACTTCTATTAAATTTCGTAGTAACTTCAGGGTATTTATGGTAGTAACACAGTAAATGTGAAATATATATTTTTTATTTTGTAATAATCAGATGTTTTACGAACACAAGGATCATATTATTAGGATGAAGAGGATTGTGACGAGACTGGACTAAGAGATTGCCCTACAAATACTGGACCATTTTAAGACTACCCAATGCATCTGGTGGTAGGTAATCTGTGATAGTCTTCAATACCCCCATTCCCCCAAAACAAAATTGTGACAACACGGTGGCAGTGAAAGATTTGAACTTTCTCACCTGGTCCCAACTAGCTCGTTGAGGGTCTTTGTTTACGGAGAATCTATCTACATGAAAAAAGTTAAAACAAAAAATCTTTGTTTAGTTTGTTTCATATTTGAAGTTACATCAAGACTTCCAATTTCCCTTAATATACACAATGCGATCATCCAACTTAATGAAATATTTTTTTAAACGACCCTTCGATATTTTAGTACTGTATTTAGAAATGGAAAGCTTCTGTATCTGTCAGGTTGCTGTTGGCAAGTTGAGACTGTTACACAGGACGATGTCTATACTGACGTTAGCTAAAATTCAAATACAAGCAATGATTTTTCTATCTATTCATTACTGCCTCCCTACTTCTTCCGGTTGTTTAACAAAGGAAAGAAAAAAAAACTGACAAGGCTTCAGAATAATGCTCTAAGCTTTGTTTATAATTTGAAGAAATTTGACCACATTAGCGAGTTTAGATCGAAAGCAAATACGCTGCCCACTAAGCAAATCTATGATCTTCAAATTTCAATCATTGTTTATAAGACGCTGCTGATTAACTAGCATCATTATCTTGATCTGAGGTTTGTGAGCGCCTCAGGAAGGCATGCTGCAGTTACCGCGGGTAAGAACTGAGATGGGGAAATGCCTTTTCCTACTTTGAGCCCCTGGTTCACAACGCTTTGCCAGCAGGAGTGAAACAAAAAAGTTACAAATATGATGTTTAAGATATTTATCTGTAGTTTTATTTTCTAAGGAGCTTGTGTTTTACTTTACCTTTAAGAGTTTGTATTTGACAAAGGTTTTCATGTAAAACCGATCTATGATCTGATGTACGCTGGCTAATAAAGACATTTATTTATTTATCCATTAACTTCACTAACCAATATTTTTATCCTCATTTTCTAGGAATAAATATAATAACTTATTCATAAACTAAACAGGTCTAGGACAGTTTAATCAAACTTGCATGACAACCCCCCACCCACCACCCCCAAACCGTTCCCACCAACCCCCGCCCATATATTCCATTTATATGTTTGAGAGCTACGGGTATCCTTTAATAAATGGAAGAGCTTCTGGTATGTTTCCTTTTAATTAAACGTTACTAAATTGAAAATGAAACATTTTAAAGGGTATTTAAAGTTAATTTAATGATTTTAAAATCATTAAAAGTTAATGTTAATAAACATTATTTCGCTAGTATTTAGCCTCCATTAAAATATGGATTTCCTTATATAAAACCGGTTCCTAGAATAAAAATTGTAATTACTTCAAGAAAACACTAAGTAATTAAATAATCGTATTTTTATGTACATACTGAGAAGCGTATTTAAGCACTAAATAAGAAGCTGCCCAAGATATGTGCAGTTAAGCGATTAGGTCCAAATACTGTACGATTTAGGCAGAATTGTAGTTTTAAGGCTAGCTGAAAGCGCGTCTACTAGTGTCCAACTTACATAATGCGTATGGCCCTTCAGTAAGAAGCCAGAAATAGAAATGTTTGAAAATTTATCAGGTTAACCAACAAGCACAATGCTAGAATATAACAATTGGTTTGTCTTATAACTACAAAATCAACATTGTTACGTTTACGTTTTCATATACTGCTAGATCCAAACTTCCAAACATTTAGTTTACAAAAGTACAATAAAACACCATAGTCACCTAAACAATTAATTGTGTTTTAGAGCCATAAGAATAATTTATGGGTTTAAATATTCAATTGAGCTACAATCGAGGTTTTAAGAAAATGTTTAACCCTAACATAATACTGCCAGCTTGTGAACGATAAAAATATAACCCACTGAAACTTAAATTGTACACACTAAACGATTTGAGAACCATCAAAACCTGATTAATCGTATACATTAGGACATGTGGATGAGTGAAAAATAAAGGAAATAAAGTGTGTAGTATACGTCCTAAATTTACTAATGAAACGTTGGAAATTGGTCATAATTTCTGTTGAAAATTCGTGCAATGGTCTGAACAAATATAATTTTGCGCGTATAATGGACAATGAACTTTAAAAACAAATAATCCTGCATTTTAAAGAAACAATTACAAATGAAGGATTCATTCTGCCATATAGCTTATCAAAAAATACTGTACAGTGTGTTTTCTATTTGCTATCCATTATACAACGTAATGTATAACCTTACTATTGGCTTTTGATGTAATTTTAGTATAGGTATTAATCAACAGGTACCGGTAGGCCTACTATATCATTGTAACCGTTGTGCATGTAATCGACAAGGATGAACAATGTAAATTTAAGTATTACATGAAACCAACGCAACCTATACCATCAGTCCTCCAATAGTTAATACTGCCTTGATACAAAAAAAGACCAAGCAAAGCATGGGTGTACCATTTTATAAAAAAAAACTATTTGTACATTGCTCCTACTTAAAACCTAACTAACATGTGAATAAAATAGGTAATGTGTTACTTTCTGTTTAGGAATTAATATGAATTGTTTTTTAATGTATAAAAATTCAACATACGTTTAACTGTCAGTTATTAAAATTGGAAATTAATTTTGCTGGGGTAGTTCCAGACATGCACTTAATCGATTTGATAATTATTGTATAGTGCTAAGAAAAGTTACAATAAGAAATTTAGTAGTTGGGAATAGGTAAAAAAATGTATTTAGTTAGGTTTCATCAGCATTTATAACTGTTTTTATACAACCATACATATATATCAAACTGAGTTTTTAGGGGAAATGACTGTTTAAATCTGTTATCCTAATGGTTTCAAATATGATTTTAGGTAAAAACTCGATTTCAAATTACGAAACAATCAAAATGTAAAATAACATCAATGCAAAAACATTCAAATGTATCTAGCGCTATATACAGAAGAGGTGTAACTACAAAACAAGATTAGTAGTGGGAAATGGGGTTTAAAAGCCATTCCTTAGCCAAAATTGCACCTACCTCGCCAGCTGGCCTTCGTAGGGCAGGGAATTGTCTGATTCTTGATCAGGTAAGCGTTCAGTGTCGTCAATGAAGGGCTTTTCCTCAGGGTTGCTTCGTCATTCTTCCAGACATACGTGATGGCTGATAAGTCGTACGATACTAAAACACCATAAATATATTAGCAATGTTTGCCAACCTTAAGCAAGCAGAAGTCTTCTAACTACTGAACACTACTAACTACTGAACACTACATTTTAAATTCCTTGATCATATATCAGTATCCATAAAACCTACTAATAACAAGGTCAATCTTGGAATAACAACTATAACAAATTATCCGTTTCAAAAATAAAAACGAATAAAGGTTTTGACTTTATACACGAAAACAGATTACATATTTCCTAATTATGATAAATAAAAAATAAATAATTCCTTGTGACTTTCTACCTGATAAAACAATTCCCTGTAATATTGTGGAAAGTACATTTAGATTTAAAAATTTCGATTAAATCAATTCAGTATAAATTGTTTTTGATAGTTCAGGTACCTTTTATCAAATCAATTTTCATTAACAATGAGTGGCCTTTGTTGAACAAATAATCACTTAAGATAATACGGTATTTTCCACACATTACAAAGTAAAAATATGTAACACTATTGATTGGAAAAACAAAAAATCTCCAGAGCTTAACTTTAAGAAGTGCCTTGTGACATGATTCTTAATTGTATAGTTCTCTGATCGAACAGCATAAAAAAATAAGTTTATGATAAAAAAAAACACAAATCAAATTTTCATTATTACATTCTTCATTTTTACCCCATGCATGCATTAAATTAATTCATTACTGAATTGAATACCTAAAATACGCAGACTTGTTGTATCAAAAATAAAATCAATGACTACTCACTGCTCTCCATAGCGAAAGAACATTGAGGATCATCGAAAGGGAAGATATTGAGAGATCCCTGACATGATAATATCAGGTGTCGCCTAAAACAGAACACATTTTACTTAATTGACAAGAAAACACAAATAAATATCTTATTCTAGAGGTTTACATGGATGAAACGTACTAAAGAAACATGATTTAAAGCCTAACCAAAACACGTCAAGGCCACTGAAATATTTGAGCTAATATGCCACAAGCCTTTAAGTACTCTTCCGGTCAATTTTTTGTTCTGAGTATGTACTAGTAGTATGACTATTAGTCTACAAACTATTAGCACCATTAGGTTATCTCTTTCACGTTACCTTACATTTAAGACAAGAACTCAAGATCAAAGACATCGTTTCAAGAATAAGCTTAGGCTGATTCACTTCAGAAAATGAATAACTTGTTGAATACTAATTACTACTAACACAAACTAATTATAAATCAAACTATTAAGTAATCAAACTAATACAATTATCAATGGTTTAAAAAAAGGTTAGGGTCTATAGCTGGAAATGTAAAACATTAAAAATATTATTTAAATAACATATTTATTACTCACTATGTAAATGCCTTACTTTTGTATCCCCAATTTACCAATGAACAGCTACTATTTATTGCTATTTTAGTTGTTATCATTACCATTATCGTATGTTTGAAATAAACTTTGGATGTATTAACATCTTGAGGTAGTCTCTCTCTTAGTTCATTTTGAACGTAAGCACATTGCGATATGTTAATCATAAGAGCGAATGTGAGAAAACTTATTACCTCTACCTTATTACTGACCTAGTTATGAAAACGACTAATCCTGCCTAACGCTTAGAGTTAATACAACGTGTAAACTGCTTTGGACTCTTCCAATTAAAATATTAATAGTTAAAATATAAATTAAATCGTTCAGTACGCACAGTATGAAGTTATGCTGGAGCCGAATTTTGTTGGACTTCCTTCCACAACTATGAGTAAGTTAAGATACAGAATTTCTAGTCTTGGTAATAAATAATACTCTTTACGCCACACTACATTATTTTGACGAACTTCCCACGCAAAGATTTAGTCCAGAAAACAGCTGTTTGCCGCCAGCTTATTCAAATGGGGTTTCATTGCGCACTACTGTGCTGTAATGAGTTTTGCCGGACACCAATTTGCTGATTATACTATATTTAGGTTGCAATGAATGGTTATTAACAAAAACATAACCTCTATGACTAGTGATTTTTGGTCTGTTGATTGGTGAAAATATATTAGGATTTGTACAGATTTGGTAGTATGGCGTAAACTATCGTACGTAACTCGTCCGAAATGTGTGTACCGGACTCGTATGGTAATCCCGTCCTCGACTTCGTCTCGCACGGGAACGACCACACTCGTCCGGTAAACACTTATTTTCAGGACTAGTAACGTAATATACTATTTTACCGCAGTGGTTGAAAACCGAAACAATTTACACTCAAGTCCAAAATGATTAGTTAATCGAAATATTTGAGAAAAAAACCCAAACTGCAAAATCTTAACAATATATATTTTATAATAGTGGATGTTATCGTCGTATCTACTTCCCATCAACTTGTAATTGAATTGCCCAAAGTTCCTCTAATTAGGAAAACAAGATGATTGATTTGGTGCCTGTGTAGCTCTCCTGTAGTGCTGGGGGTGATTAAACAATTAATTACTAATTAGTTATGTTCAATAAGTTATGCGTTTATACCAGGATATAAATTCCGAAATTTTAGTTCACTGTTGTTTTCTGCAGATACAAACATGTTTACCTATTGCTGCTTATTTATAGTGGCATAATCATTAAGAGGCCTACAAAAAATAACATACTTTTCCCACGATTCAGCAAGATGGGGATTACTGTAACAGTTATTTGGATCTGAAGATTAACATAAATACCCCCGCCGCAGCAAACCTGACGCCTAAGCGAATTTCCATTTGGCTGAATTGATTTTCAATTGATCTATTTAAATAACATTAGGTTTAACGAGTACCTAGGTTTGCTGCTACAAGGAAACTAATAAAGTGTGTGTTTTAAGTAAAATAATTATTGCTTAGTATAAAATGAATATATTTGCCAAGTTTGATCAAAAGATATCCATAAACAAGCAAACTACAACATTTTACAATATTCTCCATAAGAATAACATGGGAATTTTAAAGTTACCATTTTTTTAGTTTTCTCCGTAACCAATAACCGTACAAAAACACTTTGATATACTGAATTGTTTGTTTTTTTAAGCTCTTTAAGAAGGTTTAGAGAAAAATTGGGAAATTTTGTGTTTTGAGGGTCAAAAGTGAGAAAAACCAATTTTTACCCCATAAAACCCAGTTCCCATGGTCCGATCATGCTGGATCGCGAACTCATTCAAGTTTATCCCGCCTTACACCTTCAAACCAAATTTCATCAAAATCGGATAAAAATTACTCAAGTTATCGTGTTCACGGACACACACACATATATATATATATATATATATATATATATACATATATAAAAATTTGAACGAGTGGTGTTTTTGGCCTCTGGGGACATCAAAATGAAAAAGTAAATCGGTCCCGGGCCTAAGTCTTACCATGAGACCTACGGTAATAGCTACTTCCCTATAGGGAAATTCGCTAAAATCTATTTAGTTTTAAAATTCAGATATAATATTGTATGTTTTTAAAGCAAATATCCCCACCACAGCAAATCTGCAGACTAAGCGAATTTCAATTTATCTGATAGGATTTTTACTCAAACATAAACAAGACGTATTTATTCCCTAATTACACAGCATTAGATCTAACGCGTAACAAAGTTTGCTGCAAAAAAAATAAAGTATAGGATTAAAAAAAAAACTTGCGGAATTTGGTCAACATACATCTATAAACAAGCAAACTACAACAGTTAGTTGTCTTTTTCTCTATAAAAATAACATAAGAATCTTTAATGTAAAATGTTTGGGCATTTTATCCGTAACGTTTAATTTAACAATAACGCTTCAATATACAAAATTAGTTGTTTTTTTTATCTACAAGATGACTGTTATAAAAAATGGGTATTTTCAAGAGGGATACATGATTTGCTGGAAAAGGTAAGGAAGGAAAGTCTTCCGTACCTAGGAAGACAAAGTCTAATCCTCGATCCTAGTGTACAAATCCAGCTCCCTCTATTTCTCCCAGTTAACATCCTCAAAAGATAATAACTAAAAAACCAAAGAAGATCCTTTAAAATTAACTTGAGTTATGCTAAAATGTGAATTTAAGTCCAAAAGTGTCATAACGATCCATAAAACACTGTGAATCCTATACGCAAGGCTCCATTTTCGCAATCTACAGCTCAGGGACTTAGAAGTTACTTTTACAGTTTTCAGTGTGTATTAAGTAAAGAGTGAATCTTAATGAAAACAATTAGAGACCCTTCTAAAGCATAATGAAAAAAAATATGCTGTGTTGAATTTACCTCATTAAATAGCTGACTGAGCCATTTTGGTATATTCTTAATGCAAAGTGGACAGGAATGAGGGGGTCCTTGAAGTCGCCGTGCATGATGAAATAGGTGTCTGGCAGCCAGATACTCTCATGGTGATGGATGGCGTTCAGGAAGGGGTAGCGACTCTGGTTGTAGTACCTTAGCCGTGGGTCGAACCACTGTTGTTGTAGTAGGAACTCCACTTCATATTTCTGCGAATAAAAATAGTAATATGGTTAAGAACTAGATGGAGTCTCACAATTAAATAGACGTTACGGTACATACAACTTTCAATTGCAAAAGTATATGCCGATCTTAAAAATCTCATAAAACGCAATACCGTACAACCATAGATAAAACATACTCCCTTAGTAGATTTCTCATCCTAATGGAACAGCTGAAGACAATTTTATTGTTAGTTCTGTACGGTTTATGTAGAGGTCGTGTTTTGTTTACAATTTGTTTCCCGTTAATACAGTCATTTAAAACCTCGTTTAACCAAATAATACGATCTAATCATAAACAATAAATTGTCCCCTAGTTATTTAACCAAACAGTAAAGTACAAATCAAGAAATTAACCCTAAAATAATAGCTAAACAAAATTTCGTCGACACTAGCGCCCAGTGTGGCGTACATGAACTAGACATGAAAGACGAGCTTCAAAATTTACAATGGGATGAGAAGTCTACTTGTGTTGGTTAGTCTATGGTACAACTTAAGGAAAGTAGCCCCCGGATAACCCAAGACTTAGAGAGGGACCAACTGGTAACTGGTTGGCAGTGGATAACTGGTTCGAATGTAAATAAGTAATCGTTACATGGTAATGTTTATACTTTAGCTTGTCTAAATGTCTATGATCCTTCCCATTTCTGTTATGTTATCCGCGTTTAGTCAAGCCGTGTTGTAAGCGCGTGTGTAAAATTCTAACGGCCTTCTTATAAAGCCATGTTCTTAATTATTTTATGCCTAGAGATGGTTCCATGATTGTTAACCTAAACTAGTTTTCATCCATAATATAGGTATTTCAATCACTTAACAATGAAAACCTTAGTAAGGGATTATCTTGTAAATAAAATTAAAATAATAATGCCTATATAGAAATAGACATTATTAGTATATAGTATCAAGATCATTATTTACCTAGTGGAGTCATATTTACAACTATAATTTACAATTTTTCAAGCAAAAACACGAATCCACAAAACAAATAGTTTACTTTTATAAGCTATACCCAGAAACAGTTTTCCTGTTGTTTTGCCAATGGACATTAGTAATTATAAATATCATTATTGCATGGGGCAGAAAGCTTCGGTAACATTGTATGAGGTTAAATTAAAGAAAATGAAAGGAAGACAATCTAAATTAGTCACTCGATGCACTAGTGTTTTTAGAAGTCATTTCAATAAACCGGCAGATCAAATTCAGTCACCTTACTAGGCACGGCGGTTGAAAGAGTATATTTAATCCACAGCCTGTGAATACAAGAAAAAGTGTAATCATGCAAGCTCACCATTGTGTACACCCATCAATTATACAAGGCTGCCCTAAGGCCTTCTATTACTCCCTTCACGCATTCGCTTTCTCCTAACCCGCCACTTACTATTTTGAAAGCACAAGTAAGCATACAATCCTCGCATTTGACATGACACAATCACGTAATGAAAAATGTACGTTGAACTAAAGAGTTTATATGAAAATGATGCTACGTGGGGAAGGTTTAAATTATGGAACATGGCTATAAACACATGGCAAGACTGCGAATGCAGCCTGTTTCAATTTTATGTTTTGAATATACAGTCATTACCTCTTAAAACATCTAGCAACACTGACTAACGCTGCATTTAAATGATGAAGATGTTATTACAAAATCTGCACTAGCTCAAAAATACTTACAAGGCTAGATTCGTCCGGGGACGCAAGACTCAGCAGTAACACGCTCATGTTTACTGTAAGTGTTCCTGTAACAAAAACATAAAACCAGTTCAAAACGTTTAATTATGCCTGGTACACGGGGTTGTTTACATTCCATTCGGTTTTATAGGATACTATGAGATATTTGACGTGATTTAAGCTAATCTTGGAAAGTACAAGTTTTAACAATAGAAGACTAAGTGTAGACAATTTTGAATATTTAGTGGTAATATTGCTGGAATCTATACCATATTTGAATGAAACGTCACAGCACTAAGTTGTGGCCTAATCCAGAGTATGTTGAAAATCATTAATGTTAAAAAGTAAAATACACACACAAGAAATCTTGGTACTCTCTTGAGCAAACTTGCTTCAAGTAACTTCTAAAAATTCAATGTGGAAATCAGATTACCTCAGATTACAAACATGATACGCATTTAAAATTTTCGGCACTCTGCTGTTAGATCGACCACACCGAGTTTTTTTCTGTAACATTCACCACACCAGGTTAGGCTAGGTCAGATTATTTGTAGTTAACAAATATATTTATTTACTTTCTTCAAATGTTTGGTTACATAATCTAACCCATCCTAACCTAACTTGTGGTGGTCCGTATAACAGAAGAGTAGGTCAAGTTAGATTATGTAATTATAAATTTTAAATGAAAGTAAATAATGTATTTTTTATGTAAAAATCATCTGCCCTAGCCTAACCTAGAGTGGTGGATATAACAGAAAAATAAACTTAGTGTGTTTCCAACATACAAATTTTAGAAGTTACTTTAAGCAATTTTGATCAATAGACGAGCAAAGCAAGTGATAAATATCTGAACTAAATGATTAAGTCGTACAGTGATAGCATTACGTTTATTTCGTTAGTCAATATGATATTTGTTTTATATTGTAAATCATAAATATCCTTACCACAGAAAACCTGCCGAATAAACAAATTTACATTTGCCTGGTTCGATTTTCATTATTAAAATTATCGAAATTATTCCCCCCAAAAATTATAAACATTCATGTTTTAAGGGGCGAAAATGGGGAAACCTAGTTTTACTATGTTAAACCCGCAATTAAACCCTGTCCCCATGCTGGCTTGAGAACTTTTTCGAATATACGTGGATATACACGTTTGTACTACTGTAAATTTAATTAATATCGTATGATTTTAACTAGAGTCGTCGTGCTAACGGACACAAAACACGCACACACGCACAAGATAAAAAAGTAAATCTTTTCCGGTTCTAGGTCTTGCCTAAGATTATAGCTTATTTTCTGTATGGAAAATTCGCTAAAAGTTACTGTATGAAAGATTCGCTAAAAGTTACTTATGAAAAAATACAATACTGTATTAACTGCTTAATCCCAATTCACCACAGAGATCAAGCCTAAGATGAAGTAGGTGGTTTACGATAGTTAATGGTTGTAATTCCCCATGTTATTACCTCCTCGCCGTCAATTTACTAGCGTTGCTCTTGTAAGATCAAAAGGTCCAACCATCAATCCCGATTAATTTCAAATGTAAAGAAGAAAATACCGCATACCCTTTTCCTTTTAAGACTAATGCTACTTTACTACGGGTAAATTCATGTTGACCTCTCTTTGGGAATGGTAAATAAATATATATGGTCCCTTTTTTATGCTTTGAATAACAGAGATATTTATTTTCTACTCAAAACTGCTAAGCCCAATTAATTTTCCATTGAATACGAAAAGCAACTTTGTTGATTAAGGAATTATTAGCTAATTACGATGGTAAAAATGAAAGAGGAGGGATATTTCCAGCCCACCCTTAGAGGTAATTGATGTTAGCAGTAATTCTAGCTGAAGTTAATTACGATATTTTAACTTAAAAAATAACCCAAATCCGAAAGAGTAATTTTAATTTTACTTAAGCAGTATGATAATACAGTATATTGTTTCCAATAGATATTTATTTATTTATCAATTGTATTATCATTAAAATTTAATATTTAATAGAATCTTTAACAGAGTAAAATTTATTATACAGCTATTTTACTTTAGACATCTATGGAGAGGTATTTGTTTCCAAGAGATAGATATAGGTACGACTGTTTATTCCGATAAAAAATATATAAAACAACTAGTGAACGAAAGCATATGGATATGGATATTATTATCTCATTATGAGGGTCCGCTGATAGACCTAGGTTTTTTAATTAGAGGGCCTACCGTTTATGGTTATGGCTAACCTACTAAGTTTACAATAAAGTCCATTTAATTAATTATAACATATTACCTAGCTTTTATTGGGCGAGCAAGTACATTTCCAACTATTCATTAATTTAGTTCAACTATTCATTAATACGTACAAAAATCTACTGTTTGGAACTGCCTGTATATAGGATATTCCATATTTTTTTAACACAACCTTTCATTTGCCAGTTAGCACGTCCAATATAATAGTACTTCGTATATTTATAATTATACATATTGAGTTATGATAAATTTTTATGTAATACCCAAATCAAATGCGAATTTCCATTTACCTGATTATATTTTTGCAAAACTATTTCCTAGTTTAAACGAGTACTTAGGTTTGCTGTTAGGTAAAAAAGTAAAATGTTATAAAAGAAAAAAATAAATTAGCCCATATAGTTATACACATATTTCTTTATAGAATCAAAATACAACAATAAATATTATACCGAATCGGTGTGTTTTAAGTTCTACATGATTAATGTAATTAAAATTGGGTATTAATATATTTTAAGGTTGAATATTATTTTAAAATTAGTTAAAACCCCTGTAACACTATCATAAAGGAAAGTCGATTAGATTGATTTTTTTTTTTTTTTTTTTTTTTTTTTAAGAAATCTTTATTGTTTTTTCCATACACAACACAAAATACATTTACACATGAAAAAAAGAAAAAAACAATAACCACCTTAGGTTAAAAATGATTTGGTCGCAATATTTACTTACCACTTACATCTTTGCATAAGTTGTACTTCAGGCTTACTTTTCAATTTATAATGCTCGTGTTTTAGTCATACCGTATGTATATAAACGCTTTTGTATTTTTAATAGTTAACAAACATTTAAAAAATATTTATGTTTGTTTAATTTGAGGCACATTTATTTGTTTTTATGCAGCTTTGGATTAGCGGTGTTGGGGGAGATGATAGCAGTGTGATAAAGCAGAGACGGCTCAGCTACTATGTGATTGTTGTTGCCCTCACACAATGCGGTTGGCTTGTGGTAGTTGTGGCGAACCACTAGAATTTCCATTTGCAAAACATCTCGTCGTACAATTTAACACATAAGCTTTTCCATCACTGTCAATAATTGGGATATTAGTTGCGGTGTTGCTGTAACGGACAGTTTTTAGATGGTTGAGTTATATTTCAAATAATACGAAACCGTAATGTAATGGCTTAAGTTTGATTGAAAATCACTAACAAACACACTAAAAAGACTATTTAATTATTTATATATTTGTACTCAGGTGAACATCATTTTTTTGTTTTCATGTCCCCATCCCTTAGATGTATAAATGTGTCCCTTAGCACCAAACTGTAACTTGATTAAATTAGGTTCGAATTGGTAAACATACGTTTATTCTAACTGGCATAATTTTAAACTTTTAACTATAAAACATAAAATTTTGAAATTTATTTCTAAACCATTTTGTAGAGTTTAAAAACATATAATTATCAGATTGAAGCGTTGTTTTACGCTCAATGGTTGTGAAGGATAACTAACTGTTAATTTAAGATTTATGTACTATTTTTATGGAGGTTGAGCTTTATGGTAGTGGTTTATGGTAGTGGTTAGTTTGTTTATAGATATATTTAGATAACATTTGGCATATTTATTTATTTCATACTAAGTGATTTGACATTTTGCTACAAATAATCATTAATACGTTTTCTGTAGTAGCAACACTAAGTACTCATTTAATCTAATAACACTCTAAATGGGGAAAATATCATGTCTATTTAAGGAAACATTAAATTTAAAATCGAATCAGGGAAATGGAAATGTGATCATTCACTGTGAGGCGCAATGTCACATGATAAATATCAAGCTTATTATAAGGTAGCGTTTTTCATAGGACAAGGCTGTGAAATGTTGTTTTTTTATTTAACTAAGCAGAAAAATAGTATAGCTTTATTACTATTTCAATGTTTGTAAGGCTCAAAATGTTGACGTTAATTTAGATGTTCATTTAATGTGGTAAAACAATAAATTAAACACACAATACTTCATATTTCAATATATGACATCATATATTGTGATTATTAAACCAACAAAACTAAAATATTTTAATACAGGGTAATTTTTACATACATTTTATACCTATAATTATTGTAATTCTTAGCTTGAAAAATATCCCTTATGTATCATGTTATAGGCAATAAAGATAGAAATAGAGTACAGTTTTTAATATTTACCAATGTTAATTATATTAACAGGACAACATTGAGGAAAACTCCATGTTTATGAACTTATCCTCTAAAATAGGTCAACAACTAACTGGAAAAGTCCAATTCCCGGGTAATGTCAATATATCAATATTGTCAACAGCCAATCTCAATATTCAACAACATGACACAAAATATGAAGGTCAAAGAATAGTTACGTATATTACTTTTACATGGAAACGTTCTGGCATCATTGAAACTGAATGAGACACTCTAGTGGCAATCAAATGCGGCTATCATTTATATTACTGAATAACGATTCCATTACGGTAATTCAATATGGATTCGTATGATTAGACCAGTTACCACAACAGTTTTGTATTTATCATTCTCTCATTTCATATAACATATCACGCATAAGTTCACTCTGCAATTATGTGATATAAAAGGTGTTTAGTGGAACTCTGCGCTATTTCACGTCTTATTTGCTTTAGTAAAAACTTATGAGTTACTCTTTTAGCTAGACGCATTGAAATATAAATAATTTAGGTAAACAAGATTTACTGGCAAGATAATGTGATACAAGAATAGTAGAGTCTGTTTTAACTTATTTGCATTACCAACTTCGTTCAATAAGACTGCTAATAAAAAGATATA